GCAAGGAGGGAAGGTAGTGGCGTATGGCTCGAGGCAACTCAAGGTGCATGAGCAGAATTATCCCACACACGACTTGGAGCTGGTTGCGGTGGTATTTGCTCTTAAGTTGTGGAGATGTTATTTATACGGGGAGAAATTTCAAGTGTTCTCGGACCATAAAATCCTCAAGTATATCTTCACACAGAAAGACTTGAATCTCCGACAGAGAAGGTGGATTGAGTACTTGGAAGATTATGAGTTCACGCTCAACTACCATTGGGGGAAGGCCAATGTAGTTGCTGACGCTCTTAGCAGGAAGTCTCGGGGTGAAATCAATTTTCTTGCTGTAAATAGGTGGAAAATGATTGATGCATTGGAGGAGTACGATCTATGGGTGGATGGACCGGAGTATCAACCATATCTATTCAACCTTGTAGCTCAACCGACGCTTCGGCGACGGGTAGTAGAGTTGCAATGCCTGGATTCGAAACTCGATTGGATTAGAGCCGGATTGGAGAATGGAGAGGCGATTGAAGGATGGTCTTGGAAGAATGGAGAGTTGAGATATGGGGAGAAGCTATGTGTTCTCGATGATTCGTCCCTAAAGGAGGAGATACTGGGAGAGTCATCGCTCCAAGTTTGCTATCCACCCCGGTAGCACAAAGATGTATAGGGATATGAAGCGTCAATACTGGTGGTAGGAAATGAAGCAAGATGTGGCTAAGTATGTAGCAAAATGTGCAGTGTGCCAGCAGGTGAAGATTGAGCATCAAAGGCCAGGAGGAGTCCTATAGTCTTTGCCTATTCCAGAGTGGAAGTGGGATCACATCACTATGAACTTCGTGTCGGGTTTACCACGGATGTCGCGTGGGCATAATGCAATGTGGGTCATTGTGGATAGACTCACCAAGTCCGCTCACTTTTTTGGGTATGAAGACCACGGATACGTTCAAGACTTTGAGCCAGCTGTATATCCGTGAGATAGTGAGGTTACACGGCGTTCCGCTTTCGATTGTGTCGGATCGTGACTCTAGGTTTGTGGCGAGATTTTGGCAGAGTCTACAACAAGCGATGGGGACGGAGTTACACTTCAGTACGACTTTTCATCCCCAAACGGATGGCCAATCCGAGATGGTGATACAGATTGTGGAGGATATGTTACGCGTTTGCGCGTTGGACTTCAAAGGGAGTTGGAGGGACCACCTACCGTTGGTGGAGTTTGCTTACAACAACTATCAAGAAAGTATTGGAATGGTACTGTATGAAGCATTGTATGGAAGACCATGCCGATCACCGACGTGTTGGTAAGAAGCCGACGAGAGTAGTTTGTTTGGACCAGACATTGTTCGAGAAACTACGGAGAAGATTCAACTCATCCGAGAGAGGTTACGGACGGCGCAAAGTAGACAAAAGAGCTATGCGGACCACAGACGAACACCATTAGAATTCAAGGTGGGAGACTACGTATTTCTCAAGGTGTCACCCAAGAAAGGCGTGTTTTGATTCGGCAAGAAGGGGAAGTTAGCGTCAAGATATACCGGACCGTTTGAGGTAATCAAAGCGGTAGGAGGCATATCAACTTCGACTACCAGCCCAGCTATCCGGAGTACATGATGTGTTCCACGTGTCCATGTTGAGAAGGTGTCACTCGGATACAACTCCAGTCGTGAACTTGGAGGAGATTGAAATTCAAGACGGAGCAACCTATGAAGAACAACTGGTAGAAATTCTCGACGCCCAGGAAAAAGTGCTTCTCAACAAAGTTATCAGATTGATGAAGGTTTTGTGGCAACACCATAGAATGAAGGAAGATACATGGGAACCAGAACAAGAAATGCGGGAGAAGTATCCATATTTGACAGCTACTTGAGGTAAGTTTCGAGGACGAAACTTTCTTTAAGGGGAGTGGATTGTAACACCCTGCATTTTCTTTTATATATGTATATAGATATATAGTAAATAATTGTGGTAAAAAAAATGTGGATATATATAGTGATGTGTGTTTGAATTTGGTAGATTGAAAAAGTAGAGATTTAAAATATTAGTGAAAATAATAGTTGAAATTTAGTTTTAATAAGTGAAAATATGAAATTTTAGGTCCTAGAACTTGTATTAAATAGGTTTGGTATAGAAATATGTGTTGGAGAGGTTTGGGATAGATTTGGTTGGCTTTGGAATGGATTGGAAATAGAAAAGAGACGAAGACAGGCTGTGAATAGTGCACGTAAATAGTGCACTGCTGTAACTTCAAGCTCGATTTAGACCTTGATGCAGTCAATATCTCTCAAAACATGAAAGTTTTAGAGCTCTTTCGTATCATTCCATAGCATCTTGAATCATCTCAATCGGAGCTTGGATGAGAGAGTTATGCTCAGATAACGAAACGATGTCGAAATAGTCCAATTAGCTTCGTTTTGCATTTAATGTTTCCATTTGCATCCTAAATCAAAATATAAGAATAATGAGTACTTTTAGGCTTCAAATAAGTATAAAAGGCTTTAAGAAACACTCTTTATCACCTTTTATTTACAAACATCGTAAAACTTCATTAATAGCCGATCGGACGGGTAAAATAGAAACTTTAGTGTTTCGGGTGTACGTTGACTTGAATTTTGAGATAAATCATAAAAATAAATGTTTTTAGGTTAAAATAACATTAAAAATGAATCCGGAACGTCGACAAACCTTAGAGTAGTCATATGGATCAAATTGGAGATTCTTAGTGGCAAAATCGTAAACTTGGACAAACCCAAAACAGCCTGTGAACAGTATTTTTCGGGGCTGCTATGTTTTAAACTCATTTTCATCTCATTTCCTTCACTCCCCTCACACCCCCACACCTCTTGAAACCCTAGAGAGCATTAGAGAAGAAGAAAGGAAGGGAAAAATAAGAGATTCAAGGGTGATTCAAGATCAAATATTCTTGTTCTTCACACCAAAGCTAAGGATTCAAAGTAAGGGTTTTCTCTCATTCACTTACATTGAGGCTAGGGTATTTATATATGTATGTTTTGGCTATCAATGGTATATATATGCTATGGAATCATCATCTCTTAGGCTTTTTTCAAGGATTACATGTTTTAAACAAAATAAGGTTTAATACCCATGAAATCTCCTTTTTAGTTTTAAAACTCTAAATTTTAGAGAGTGATGTATTTCCTTCCTAAATGCTTTCTTTATTATGGATTTTGAAACCTTAGTGCTTTGTGTTGGGTAGAAAAATAATGTTAATTGTGATCTCATGTATTTTCTTAGTTGGTTGTGAATTGTTATATGATATATTTTGGGGATTTTGGATAGATGCTTGTAAATTGAGATAAATGTTGGAATTGTATGCTTGATTGGGTTGTTTGTGATGCACATGAGTGAGAGGTTCCTTATAAAGATGCCCACCCCTTCCCAAGAGGTTTCCGGTAAGGATGTTTGAGAAATAATGTAGTGATTGGTGAGAGGTTCCATGTAAGGATGTTCATCCATTTTCAAGAGGTTTCCGGTAAGGATGTTTGAGAATTAAAGGTGACCTAAAGAGGGGTGGAGGTTACCACAAAGTATGTCACCTACCGAAAGAATTATTGGGAATTGGTTATGACAATTAATGGTTATTATTTGCATGTGGTGCTCGTTTATTCATTTAAATAATATTTTTAAATAAACTTGAGATCTTTTCTAAATGTCACTGCTTTATTTCAAATTATGTATCTATGTTATGTTAAAATTGAGACCGACCGTTTTAAATACTTTTCTAAACCTTGTATGGGTTTGGGAGAATTTTTCTACAGAGCTTCGTGCTCACTCCCTATCGCTAACATTTTTTAGATTACCCGCTTGAGGAGGAGGACGTAAGGGTCGAGGAGCCCGCTACTTGGGAGACTCCACTGGACGGGAGTGTGGATCCCGAGGTGGACGCATAGAGCGACCTCCTTTCCTTTTGTACTAGATTAGGACATTCTTTTGGAACATTGTGTAGTCTAGCTTCTTTTGTTTATTCCGCTGCGCTTCTTTAATTAATTTTTGAGATGTAATAGCCATGACTTGGGGCTTATTCTTTTGGATAATGTTGTAAATATTCGTGGATGACAAATGAAGTATTGTTTCTTAAGGGATTATATTAGTGCTCTCATGATATGAATGATTTTAGAATGTAATGCCGTCCAGGGTGTGTTTTGGGGCGTTACGGCCCCTCATCATCAGGGCATCCGTCCTAAGCGCCCAGGCGTCCTGGATTCTCCTCCTTATGTGCTGACTCCGTCCTTCTACGCTGGTGACCCTCTTATGTAAGGTGAGAGGAAAAGCCAGTATAGAGACCCCGTAAGCCACAACAACGATCCTTTACTGGGCGTCTCCAACCAATAGGACGAAAAAATCAAAGAGGTGCAGAATCAGCTAGGCTACGTCTTCAACGCCCTCAAGGCACGAGGACATGAAATGATCGAGTACCTAGTGAGGCATACTGACATGCCCTTTGTGACTGATGTAGCCAATTACCCTTTTCCCCCAAAGTTCAAGATGCCAACCATGGAAGCTTTTGATGGCTCCAAAGACCCACTAGACCACCTTGACATCTACACATCCCTGATGCAGCTGTACAACGTACCAGACGAGATCATGTGCAGGGTTTTCCCAACCACCCTCAAGGGATTTGCTTGCCAGAGGTTTGCTAAACTTATCCCGGCCTCCATAGACACTTTTGTTGAACTGAGTAGGTCCTTCGTCTCACATTTCATCAAAGGATGATGAAACCAAAAGACTATCACCCACCTGCTCGGTATCAAACAGGATCGGGATGAGAGCCTGAGGAGTTACCTCACTCGTTTTAACGAGGAGGGTCTTCCAAATTTAGGAGCCCAATGACAAGGTCACCATGACAGCTTTCTTGGGAGGCCTATGCTCATCTAGCTTTCTTTTCTTAATAATGAAAGCACCTACCAAAGAGTATGCCAGAATTGTAGGCAAAAGCTCAGATACACATAAATGCCAAGGACGTCACCAAAGCTAGGCAAGGTGAGTCCTCGCCATCATCTTCACCATATGCGCCTGACTTCTCAAAAAAAAAGCCACAGAGGCAAAGGCATTAACAAATTTTGTGGCTGAGCTCACACCGCTTGAGGATAGAGATTGTCGAGAAGACTCAGCGTCAGGCGCCAGGTGCCTGAATCTCCGATTCAGGCGCCTAGCTCCTCAACGTGCTCCTCATCGCCATCTACTAGAGTGAGCCTTCTGCTTGGTGGTCCTCCTATGGGCTAACTCTCAAATTCTTCCTCAGTTCTCATGCAGGTAGCCTCACAGTCAGCCTACCTCCAGTTTAGTGACTCTCTCACGGGTCGCCAAAAGCTCAGTCTCAATAGGTGCAATTCTCTCATGAGCAACTCTCAAATTCTATCTCTACTCTCAAGCGGGCAGCCTCATAGTCAACCTACCTCCAGCTTAGAAACTCTCACGAGTCGCTAAAAGCTCGGTCTGAAGAGGTGTAACTCTCTCACCAGCAACCCTCATACTCTATCTTTACTCTCATACAAAAAACCTCTATTTCTCTACAGTCCGATGTGTTTGCCTTTCTCTCCAGGTAATCATGTTGGATATTTTAATGTTAGAGTAACATTGTTTTTACCATCTTTAGGCACACTCTTGAAACTCATGCCATCTGTAACTCGTGTGACTACATTAGATTGAATGTCAACAATCAGGCCTCATCTTTTTTACGGCCATCTGGCACCGCCGCCTCATTGCTGCAACGCTCCTACGCTTAACACCTAGCACACAGAAGGTCTGTCTGTGCTCCTAACACTAAAGATTTGGCACCTGCTCTTGGGTACTAGCTTCACTAGCATCAGCGCACCCAACCTCTTGGCACCCCATATTGGCTCCCAGCTCCATGCCCATCCTCCATCGCCACGCCTAGTCGCGCTTGGTGACGCCTCCCTCGCGCTCGCCAGTCCTCGCGCAGCACCTAGGGGCGCCGATTCTGCCATGCCTACTCTGCGATCAGCCTTCTCGCCAGCACACAACACCTCGCCTTCGGCGCCAGCCCATGGCTCCTCGTCTCCGGCGCCCTCCTAGTTTCTTGTCTTGTCTTTGACGCCTGGTCGAGTCCCCGCGTCGCTCTCGACACCTGCTTGGGTCCCTACCTCGCCAATGTCAACCAGTCCCCCTACCTCACCGACGTCCGCCTGAGCCTTTGCATCAACATCGATTACTCTAGCTTGCACCCCTCCTCCTTCAATCGACATAGATCTCTGAATACTCATCTCAGGAACAAAGTCACAAGCTCATTCATCTTGCCACTTGCCTGGGTTCTTGAGTATCTCAAAAAGAAACCCTCTCTCAAGTTGAATGGAAAGACAAGAAATGGAAAACCCCCCAATTTTTAGCCTAGGGTTTTTTAAATCCTAATAAGCGATGTATGGGGGAGAGTTTACATAGCAAGAGATCCTACATAAATGAACTATATCAAGAAGAAAAGGAGTCATTAGTTAAGAGGAGTCTTTGTCAGTCAGAGTCCAAATTTAGCTAAATGCCCTATTCTCCAAGTTTTATTGGACTCTGGACATTGGGGAAAATGATGGGCCCAGCCCAAGGCCCAACTTGAATAAAGGACTCGCCTGGACAAAACCCGATGGGCCCAGCCCAGAGATCCATGTCTGGTGAGCCTCATCAAAGCTCCAAGAGCCACATCGTTGAGGAGTTAGCAGCGCCATCCCAAGAGCATCATCCACGCCACCTTGGAATGAGGAGTGAAGAAGTCAACTACGTCATCCTTAAACCGATCTTAAGGAGAGCTCCGTAACCGCCTCAACTGTTGAGAGGATGATGCTAGCTCCACTAAATTAGCTTTTTAGTTACTGAAAAGGCGCCTCAATCTGTTAAGAGACACTATAAATTGTAAGTCCCGCCTATACATGGGGGGCATCTCTCACATCTTTTATCTAGCATGTTATCGCACATCTGACTCACTTGAACCCTCCACACTAACACCCCAGCAACCAAAGCCCTTCAAAGTGGAGTAGGTCACCCTGACCGAACCACTCTATATTTGTGTGTTGCTTGTGTTGATTCTCTCCATATTTATCTACTGCATTTTATTAACCATACTAATCACTCGACCGGTGGTGCATAAAACCGATTTGTGCATCATCATTACTTATTCTAAATTTATAGTTCGTTTAATTGTTGAAAACAATATTAAGTTAGACATTCTTTCATCGTGTGGTGTTTTATTATCTTACATGATGCCTTTTTTAGATACTTCTAGAATGCAGTGGGGATATTCTAGGATTGATGGATGATTGTTATGGTTTAGGGACTTTGAAGCATGATTAAAAATGATGTTGTGGTGTGAACTCTTGATTTTTGGACACATTTGGTTATTAGTATAAAGGATCTCAAATAATGAGTCTGACTTGATTTCAAATAATGAGTCTCACTTGATTTATAATGAATGGAAAGATAGTACTTCAATTGGAAAATTAAAAGCATAAGTTATAGTAAACTATGAAGAAAAAATAATTTTCTTATTGGCTAGATATATTGATATTCAACTACTTGATTTTTTTTGTGTCCGGTAGTGCCTTTAGGCACGAGTTATTGTTAGTCTATATAATAAAGTAGTTAGATTGTTTTTCTTGAGCTTTTCGCAGCTCAGATCGTTTTGATCCGACGGTTCTAATGTGAAATTTTTCCCCCCAATTTTTTGAAGAAGACTTCCATTCCTTCCACAACTCTTAGACTTCTATCTCTCTCTCTATCTCATATTATTTGATGCTACGTCTCTCTCATACTATCTAATGTTACATCTCTCTCACTCGGCTCTCTCTCCCTCTCACATACCTCTCTCACTCAGCTCTCTGATACCCTCTCTCCCCCTTCCATGAGGAATTCCCCCCCCCCCCCAATTTTTTGCAGAAGACTTCCATTTATTCCATTGACTAGTAGTGCAACCTGCTTTAGGAGCTGTTTCAAATATTTTTTGCTTCAAAGTTCATTGATAAATCATGTTACACATCATGCTATTTACAACAGAAATTGCACCAATGACTTGGCAATTGCCTGGAGAACTAGAAAATAACTATGTTGCTTCCCTTTAAAGTATATTGAGCGTGGCATATCTTCAAAATTCTATAGGTCTTACAAAAATGATGCTACAAGGTGCTTTACATATTTTTTGGAGGACTTACATTGTGTTTTCCATGTGTGTATCTTATACTAGAAAGCAGACTGGAAGTATTTTAGATTTGTAAAATTCAGTCACTCTACTGAAGGGATTGATGTTGATTATTATTTACACGGTAAATATACTCTTATCCATGTTCCTCTTATGCAATTATTATAAGTGTACTTTTTTTCCTTCATACTGCAGAGAGTTTCAATTTGTATGTTGCCTACCATTTTCTCTTCTACATTCAAGTATTATGTTCTAATTGTTATGTACATATGTTTAGGACGCGAGGTAAGTGAAATGGATTCTATATTGGATGCCTTGCCAAAGCTAGAAACTGTAAGCTATTTTGGTCAATTCAAGTACTGTCCACGACCACTAAACAATGAGGTATAGATGATGCTTTGCTCTTTTGTCCGACCTAGGTTTTTTCTGTTTTGTGCTGTAATTTTGACTTTGAATTGGTTATTGAAGCGATCATCTTATTCTCACTCATTCTCCATCCTGTGATTTAGATTTTTTCATTGTTGAATTGTATATAGGGTCCTCAAGTTAAGTGTATTTTAATATTGAGTTTTAAACATCATACTATCTGATGCTTTGTTGCTTAATTTTCATTTTCAAACTAATGTTGCATATTTCCATGCTAAAATTTTTATATTCTAACAAATATAATTCTTGCAATGATGTGGCAATGTGGTGGTAGGGGGCTTGTGTTGTGCGTGATTATGGGTGTTGGGTGTTGGTGGGTGATTAGTGTAGGTGTTGGTGGGCGGTTGTGGAGGTGTTGGGATGTGGTGGCAGGGGCCTTGGGTGATGAGTGGTTGTGGGTACAAATATTTGGTGCTGGTGGGTAGTGTTTGAGATGTTGTGTAATGGTGGACAGTTATGTAGGTGTTGGGTAATGTGTAGTAGTAGGAGGCTTGGGTACAAATTTTGCATAGAGAAGTCCTAAGTCCATCATCCAATTCGGATCTCAACTTCCCATTTTGGTCAAATTACTTTGCTGTGTATACAAAAAACATCTCATTTAGATATTTAAATGGTTTGTCAAAATGGGTTTTGAACTCAATATGAGTTCTATAGTTTTGATAGTGAACAACACCCAAACTCGCCGATAGTGAGCAGCACCCAACACATTTCAGCTTCTAAGGACGTCAAAATAGATTAAAAATTTTGTTTGTTATGCGGTGCCTTTAGGACATTCATGAATACACAAGCTGTATGAAGATCACTTAATATTGGAAGCAGTTAAATTTTTTGATACTTATCTACCATATGGAGACTTTAGCTTCAGTGAACCATATCCATTTTTTTGGTTTCTTTATATAAATTAGTCTTTGGGTCACGAACTTATGGTATTTATAGAATAGATGTTACTACAACAACCGCCACAACCCTCGTCGCCACCACCATTACAATGCCTTCTCCTCGCCACCATCGCCCCATTACCGTCACCGCATATGTTGTCGCCACCTCCCCACATCCATCATTGTTGCCACCATCACCATCGTTGTTACCTTCACTACCACCCACCACTATTATTGCCATCGCCATCACTATGTCACCATTGCTAGCAATGTCGGGGCCACCATCACTATCCTGCCATGACCACCACCCCAAAGAGAATCGTTCATAATTTCATTAGAATGGACCAAGACATTAATTGAGTTCGTATGGAGATGTTTGCATATTTGTGGAAGTAATGTGGTTTGTGTATTATTTTCTTACTATGTCAAAAAATTTCCTAAGTAATGCAACAAATAGGATGTAAATCAATACATGTATTTAAAAACCTATGGACCATGAGGTTATCTCAAATTATGCAACTAATATTATTACTTTTGGGTTTTTGAATAACTTTGCTCAAATGAATAATGAAAATAGCTGCATTGAATTATTTGTAGGACCAATAAAAATTAGTTACCAAATAAGTTTTTTGCTTCTATTTTGTATTCTCTTCATAATTGAAAATAGAAAATAAATAAGTTTCATGTTTCTACCTTTACAAGTAAAAAAGAAATAATTTTCTTTTATTTTTAGAAATTAGAATGGAAACCTTTCCTAATTGTACTTAATTTTTTTGGACAATGTTGAAGTTTGAGATATGAGAATGAGCAATAATCAGGTTGTTGGGATTTTATATCCCAATTATGCTCCTAATAGTAATACAAGAAGAAAAAACATATCTAAGTTGGATGCATAAAATTGACAACGAGACAAATTGAAATGATTTTAAAATTTTAAGGATTAAATAAGATAACTAAAAGTTTATTGATAATTCAGATAGGTGAGCAAGACTTCATTGACAACCAATGAGACACTAACACGTCGACTCACTCAAGTGAGGTCGACCCCATATGATTTTTAACCATTCTATTTCTATGCTTTTGAGGCAGTGCCTCTCTAGGCTCTACTATCAAGTAGCAGGGGAAACCTTGTTTAGCTCCTCATCGTATCGCAATCAGCCGTTCACTTCTTCTTCAGGTTTAGTTCTCTTATGTGTTCTTAAGTGAGATTTGTGTTCTTGTTTTGTTAAATTTAATGACTGCATGTGTTTCAAATCCAAGGGCCTAAAGAGGAAAAAGAAAAACCATGACTCAGCTAGTTTCTATCTCATATTGGCGATCGTAGTACTACTGTTGTACTGAGTATACAATTTACACCCCTATCTTCTGAGATTGTTGATTTTACTTCTATTTGTATGATCATATTATACCGAATTTGTTTAGTCTTTGGTACTTGACCTTAAGCTGTTATACACAACACATGATTGGTATATTCAAGTTCTTCATTCATGGCCTTCGATTAATTTGTTTAGAAAACACATAATCTCATCCCTTTATTTCAAGCACTAGTGAGAACAAGGCCTTCAAAAAAAGTACAAAAAATGTATTTCCTTTTTTTTAGGGATATGTTTCAAAGGTTTTTGGGAACCTTTTAAAATTTAAAATTAAAATTAAGTAATTTTTGTTATTTTATCTTAGAAATTACTAAATTAAGAAATTTTGATTTTGCATTAGGTTTAATTTTGTCACGTATATATGTGTTATATATATATATATATATATAAAG